TGTCAGCCTTCTGCAGTAATTTTTAATGGACATAAAGATGTAATCATGTTGCTGTCACCTTTTAACTTCCTAAACAGCTTAAGTTGCATCCAATTTCAAAAAATTATCATTTATAGTACATTTAAATTTGAAGTTCTTTATCACTTACTTGAACCATAAATATTCAATAGAATTGCAAAACTTTTTTGACAAGCATGAGAAATAAATTGTATGACAGGAAACATGGAAATGAATAAGGGGAAACATGTAGCACGCACAAAGAACCAAACACGAGATACATGTCATGTATTGAGAGGTCAACCGTCAAAACATGCAAAACATGAAAACAAGTAAATAAAAAATAACCACTGGGTAAATAGAAAACATTGCATAAAATTAACCCTTTACCACCCTTTTAAATTCAAAGTTGATTAATACCAACAGCACTAATTAGAAAATAATATAGTATGGACTTCACACTGATTAAATGGTGGGAGTAGTACTAGAAGTTGGGGGGCGGGGTAGTCCAAATAATTATAACGTCTTGCAAGGCTTCCTTTTGAGCAAGTTTGTGTGCCCTGTGTTACAAATTAAGAGCTCCATGCTTTGAAAGTAGGGGTCATGGCTCCAGCAATGTGGGTGCCGGAGAGAAGTGAACGGTGGAATCCCCCCCCCCCCTTTTTCCCCGAATGGCAGGTACCTGCTAAACGAAAATTAGAAACGAATTTCAGGGTAAATGTTGAGAATGGGCTCTCGGTATAATGGAGGGATCTTGTTTCATTCGATATTCTGTTCATTTATTGACGGGATTAGATAAATTATTCAAATTTCATTTTTTTTATAGTTTCGTTTTGACCACCATGACCACGTGTATATCATGCTTGTCAACACTGAACTCGTTTTTATCTTTAAGTATACAGTTTTTTGATTTCTGAAGCGAATGATTAACAAAACAAGCAACGTATGTTTCATAAATAATACATATTTGGAGGCTCACACTTACTTTTCTGGTTAGATTTTCACATAGAAGTGAAATTTTTTTCGCTGCAAGGTTCTTTCCATTCTGCAAACTACAAACATCTATTTGACGGCGATCGTCTACTGATTGGTTAATCTGCAAAAGGAGGCGGGGTCCACAAGCCGACAATCTCGTCAACAAAAACAGCTATTGCAACTGTTTGCCATAATAATTAAAGCACAAACATACAATATTCGTGTTTCGATAAACAAATTACATCATATGGATACCCGTTTTTAGTTAACAGGCATGTATGTAATTTTATTTCATACAGTTTCATCGATAGACGCAGCTTACGGAATCTTCGCCATTAATGAATATATGAATACATAATGAGGTCCTTACGGGGTTATCTGCCCCTGACAAAATCTTAACGAAATTGCCTTAACATCGCTGCGAAGAGAGATGGTATAATGGAATTGCTGAAGACATGCACTTTTAAACGAATATTTTTCGGTTTCTTGAAACAGTAAAAAGATTTCAATATCTAAACTACATTTTGCAATCAATGTACTTATTAATCAATATAAATAAAATTGGTGCAGTTAATGTTATTATCTAGCTTCGTTTTCAGTGAAATTTGAAGTGAATATATATGTTTGTTTCGAACTCTTTGATTTATTGGAAACCAAAGAAGGTGCACATACTGCAAGTATACCTTAATTTTCCTTGGCATATAATTGGTCTTAAATTTGTAATAAAGTGTATTCTACGTAGCTATGAGTTAACATAAAAGAAACTGCGTTTATTTGATGCTATATTGCAACTTCGACAATATTTTTTTTATTTTATATTTTAGAGCTTGCTTTTTTCTCTTTCTTTTTAGAAAATTCTTATAGTCGTGTACACCAAAATTTCATATATATTAGTTTTTCATCACGCTGGTAAGCTATTGATGACATGGTTTACCTAATAGTGTACTAGTAATATTTTTGTAACACACTTGGCACTGTATGGAAGACAAATACATTCACGTATATGCAATGTATGTTGAATAATCTTAAAGTTTGTTAATCTTAATATACAATAAACGGTCAAATATATACAAATCTACATCAAATATTCAATGATTAGATAAAAGAGGCACCTGAAATCAAAATGCTTTTATTCAGATTATTTCTTTTTTCTTTAAGTCCTTAACAATATTTGTACATCCCAAATGAAAAAAAAATGCAGGACTTAACGCACAATTGTCTTGAAAGTTATTAATTAGTGTTGAAAACCTATAAAAACGATAAGGATTAGAAAGTGTTAATGTCAACCAAATCAACTCTTCCTACGCTTTAGAATCAACACAGATATCGACGTTATTAACACTTAAAAAGGTTACAAAATTATTTACGTAAAACTCTTGTCTAGACAGCAGTATACAACTTTATGTACTCAATGCAGTTAATCTCGGGGAAGAACAAAAACTAAGAAACCAAAATAAATTTCAAATTCTTTTCACGTTATTCAACAATCTACAGATCGAATAGCATTTATGTCAGGAAATTATCCTGTTCTTGTTATTCAGAACTGGAAACAGAGTCCTTCATATTCTTTTTCATTTGTTTAGCAAGACTATGGGTTAAATGAGATGAACACATACTTGATATCCCTCCTTTTTCATTAAATTGTGTATTCAAATTGACTAAAAATGAAAGAAAATGAAGAAAGGATTTGCATACTTTTCCGGAGCACCTGATATCACCCCCGGTTTTGGTGGGGTTCGTGTTGCTCAATCTTTAGTTTTCTATGTTGTGTTTTGTTACTGTTGCCATGGCATTGTCAGTTTGTTTTCGACTTGTGAGTTTGAATGTCCCTTTGGTTATCTTTCGCCTCTCTTTAAGAATCAAAAGATAAATCAAAATCAGTGCCGTTTGTCGAGAGAAACAATTTCAGTGTATGTAATAATGTGGTAATCCTTCATTTCCTTTACGATTTTTCAGTGCTTTTTCTTCAATAACTTAATGCAATGCAACGATTCTGTCGATTGTAATTGATTATGGTGTGTTACCTTGATTTGTTTTCTTAATCGATTCATGATATTTGAACATCTTTTAGCTGATATTGTCTAGACCTTTATTTCTAGCGACCAGGAAAGTAACCTTTGGCTGAAGTTATATATTTTGCGAGTATCACTTGGATCATCACTTCTGTACATTTAAAATACGAACACAAAAATAGCATGTCTCCATTATTTCGGAATATATCATCTAAACACCAAATTAGATAATTGGAAGTAATAAATCTTTATATTCAATGAAAAGTTTGTTTGTAGTAAGTCGGTCTTTTCTTTCTTTTCCAAAACGGCTATAGTTTTGAAATTTCCATTGTCGGGAATTGGACAATCTATTCTTCATAATATCGTTTCCTCAATCAAGTCACTCATAGCAAAATGAAAGCTACTGTCATCACCATCACTAAGATTTGTATAGTGTTCAAATAAATTGTGACCATCCATCAGTCTCTCGTAGCAAACGCTTTACATTTTTCTATACAATAATGAACTTGAGACGGTTCAAGCCAATACATGATTTGTTTACTGTCCGATACTCCGATACTCCGAACAAAATAACTCTATATGATCAGATAAGCAACTTATACATAGTTGCTTAGTATGTGACCGATACTGGACCATGGAAAGGTAATAGGTAACGATGTTAATATTTTAAGATATTCTAGTGGTCCTTCTGTTTTGTAGGCAAAGTCATATGTATGAGCAGGATATTTGAAGAAGGTTTACAAACTAATCGTTTGAAATAATGTAATTCCCCTTAAATTAAGAAGCTATGTATGCGTAACAGATAAAAGGAGATGCAAGATCAAATTTTTCAAGAAGATACAATGATGAATGTAAACAATGAACCAAAAGCCGTGATTTAAAGAATGTCAAATATCTCTTCATTGAACCAAGGACTTGTATAGTAAGAAGGATTGGAATCTCGTGTACTTTTGCATAGACTGTATTATAATGTGTTGTGCGGCGCGAGATTTTGTGTGATTACCCATCGTGCATTTCGATGATGCTCAGCGTGCATTGATTAATGGCGGATATATCCATCGCCTAAACATCTAGATGGAACGGGGACCCAGTTATTTCCCCCATTGAAACGCATTGAAAATCATAGTAAATAAATGGGGTGCTGTCCAATAAATAATTTTGATAGCCACCTTGGGACTTCTGTTTCACGTTAGGCATTTGTTTCGAAGTTTCTAAGTGCAATCTCAGTGCCTCATGACCAGCATTCCGTTGCACAATTTTGTTTTGATTGACAACAGGGTAGGTCGGTCTACTTCCGGGGAAGAATAAAGGCTAGAATTTAGGCAATTTACTCTATGTACCGACGCCAGATTACATTTAAATCAATCAAAATTTTTACAGAAATTCAAGCTAGAAAGCCTACCCATTCAAATAAATCTACATTCAGTTACAGAACTTGTGTAATAATAAAACTACACCATTTTAAATAAAAGTTATATTTTTTTTTTAAGAACTACATTCGTGGGTACCGGACTGGTTGCCGTAACTGGGATCCTATTCCTGTCAGACTTTAATTTTTTTTCCAGACTTTAAACTGCACTTTTAAAATAAAGATATACATCTCAGTAGTTATTGTGCAAAGTTTCAATAGATTTGATCCAACAGTTACAGAGTTATTGATCCTTATCTATGACATCTCAAATACCAGAAAATTGATCGGATAAAATCATAAATTCATGAAGAAAATATGCTTAAAATCAGCAAAACTTTTTTATTTTAAAAGATATTTACATTCTGTAAATTGCACATGGTAGATAAATTCATTTTTGATATGGAAATCTAGTTAAAAAATAATTTCTGCTGAAAAAAAATTAATTATAATTATTTTTTTAATTAAAAAAAAAATCTTATAAGAATTACATATGCAAAGAAGCATACCCCATAACAAGGGTATAAATCATGAGACTTAGTCTTCAAACAGTCAGCTAAGTTCATTTAATATACAATGGAAAAGGCTAGATGCAGAGAAGTTCTCACTTGTAGCTAAATCCAGTCAAGACGGCACCTCCTACAGTTTAACAAATGTCGAGGGAAATCCTGGATCTGCCTGAATGCTTAATGCTACTGTGCGTTGTTATACTTGTGACTGCTCTAAATGTCCCACTAGTTCATACGTGTGTGGTGGTGGACACTCAAACTGTTGGTGGCTCATAGGAGATCCATGTGCTTGGGTCTAAACAAGTTAACCAACCTGAATATGGATAACAAAGACAAGTTAATAATGCAGGAACTTTTAAAAATGAAACTTAGCGAAGAAGCATTAATGAAAATGAAATTTAATCATAACACTCAAAAAGGTGAATCTGTTAACAGAGCACTAAGTGTTTCCTTACCAAAGAATATGAACTTTTCTAGAAATTTGAAGGGAGGGAGGGCATCATCAATAATTCACACTTTGAATAATGGTACAGCTTATTCCTTGTGAAAAAAAGCAGAATGTATTGGTTTTAAAATCTCAAAAGGTTCATTGAAACACTTCGACCAGATGTAAAGGGAGTGTGAACCGAACAAAGTAAACCAAAATACTCCAGAAAGGAAAAAGACAAATTTACAACGCACCGGACAGAAGACTAAGGTTCATGTGGAAGAAAAGGATCGAAGTAAACGTACAGATAGATATAAAAAAGGGCAACCTGATCCAAAACTTGATGCTGCATTTGTAAAAGCATAATGGACGATCATTCATATGGTAGAGTAATACCTGCTAAGAAGAATATACATACCAGAAGCTGTTCTTCAAAAGTTCCAAAATCAAGGAAGATATAGCTGCATTCATCTACTGCTGAAAAAGATACAGACAAAATTAACGGTCCTTTTAAGGACCACCAAAATCTTTAAAAAGGAGTCTAAAATTGTTGTACATTCAGTTAAAATATTTATATAAGCTATAGCCCTACCCCTTTTATATCTTCAAAAAAAATCCAGGCCCAAATCTTTAAAATTGGAGAGCCCCTGGCAAAATTTTCTGAGTTTACAAAATATTCTGTCGTTATTTATGTGATGCGGCTCTTCAGTAATGTGAGCCGCATTCCCACACAAACTTTTATGACACATAAAATGGCATAAAGTGTTTTATTTAATATTTAAAACTTATCAAAAACTAATTAAAAACCATAAAACTGAATCTATGGGCTTTTTTTCTTTTTCCAGGTCCCAGAAATAGGATACTGGAAAGAAATAAGCCCATATTTTCCATCTTTTGTTGTCCCCTGATCCCATATAAGACATTTGTTATTTCTTGCCAGGTGGCTCTTTTCTAATATTCTATTCTGATATTTTTCGAAAAATCCCTCCATTTTAACTTACAAGTGTATGAATACATAATACCATCAAAATGACCTTACTGTAACCCCTTTTGAAACTTTAAATTAAAAAACAAACTTTTTAAAAATTTCATAAATTTAAATTTCAATTTAATTTAAAAAGTTTAATTCAAATTTTAAAAATAATTACACCATTGTTTTCCTTATTGAATTTTGAAGTTTCTGGCCAAATTTCATCTATGTAACTCCACAAATAAGCTTACAATTGCAGATTGAAGTGTTCAAAATATGCCCTCTGACAGGAACGGGGACCCAGTTATTTCCCCCATTGAAACGCATTGAAAATCATAGTAAATAAATGGGGTGCTGTCCAATAAATAATTTTGATAGCCACCTTGGGACTTCTGTTTCACGTTAGGCATTTGTTTCGAAGTTTCTAAGTGCAATCTCAGTGCCTCATGACCAGCATTCCGTTGCACAATTTTGTTTTGATTGACAACAGGGTAGGTCGGTCTACTTCCGGGGAAGAATAAAGGCTAGAATTTAGGCAATTTACTCTATGTACCGACGCCAGATTACATTTAAATCAATCAAAATTTTTACAGAAATTCAAGCTAGAAAGCCTACCCATTCAAATAAATCTACATTCAGTTACAGAACTTGTGTAAAAATAAAACTACACCATTTTAAATAAAAGTTATATTTTTTTTTTAAGAACTACATTCGTGGGTACCGGACTGGTTGCCGTAACTGGGATCCTATTCCAGATAAACGTTATGAAAAGTATTACAGGCCATGTTGATCAAATGTTATGCATGAAATAAGAAGTTTAAAGTAATTCTGATAAAAACTATAAACTTTTACGATTGCAGTACGAATACACGGTTCGTAGAATGAATCATTACATTTTCACCCAAATGACCTCAACTTATCCCGCCTATGGGGCGGTCCACACTTCATTTTCGATTTCATACTCCTCTCTCAAAAAACGGAGATAAGTGATAAAAAGTATATTTTCTAATAGATATATGATTAATTCATGTTTTGAATAAAATTTGCATTGTTAAATGCATTATATATAATTAGTTTTGAAATTCTTTATTTTTCCATTTCCCTGAGTTAATCACCATAAAAGGGGGAGTCGTAACAAAAATGGGAGTGGCTTATGAAAAGTCATTTAAGTTCTACAATTGGCCGAGAATAATGTTAACACATGTTTACATACGTCAAACAATGCCTATTAAATGTTTTGAAGAAAGCTCAAAACCCTATATTAGGGAATTGTGATACTTTTCTTGCTTAAGAAATCAATGTAGTCCTGATATGAATCGTAACGTACCAGGCATAAATTGGGAGGGATCCAGTTTTCATTTTAATCTGATATTTCCTTCCTGCTACAGAAACCGTTGTTGATAATAAACCATACATGTGCTTTATAAGAGTTTTACATCAATTTTATCAAGGCATGGGTCATAGAAGAAACCCTAGATTTATTTTTGACGACGTGAAAGGGGATAAAGCATGGTTGGTACTCATTTTCTTTTTCTTACTATACAAATCCTTGATTGAACATTAATTTTCAAACTGTCGAACAGGTCAACTTTCTTCAAAATTTGCGATTCTCTGAATATTTTACATCTGTTGAGAAAAAAGGTAAGTTTTTACACTTCTGTACCTATTCTGAACTCGATATGAATGGATACGTCTTTCTAGGTTAACTTTTGCCAGAAACACACAATGACAATACTTGGGTTAACCCTGGATGTCTGACAGCGGGAATACCAAAATCTTCTATGGTCAAATTTGCAAGAATCAACCAACAATGGTATGGATCCAGTGATATTAATTCGAGGTTAAATGTACCGATTTTGCTACACCCAATTCACATTTCTTGATCGTCGCTTAGTATTATATATCCAAGGGGATCCTTAAGAACTAGCAATTACTTTCTAAAGTGTAATTTATCTGATTGGAGGCAGCCTTGTATTTTTTTTTTTTTTTTAATTTCATTTATCTGAAGAAAAGGGGAAGTGCATGGGTATACATAAAATGCTACCAAACAACAAGACAAATTATGATCCTTAAACAAGTCAAAAATTTCAAGAAGAGGGTTAAAATAATCCGTACACCCTTCCCTCTCGTTTTCCTTTCCCTTTCCATTTGTATAAAAAGTGCCGTTTAACTTGTTCTCGTTTTAAAAATACTTATGTTATGAAAGTAGCAGTTCACCTATAGAGATATATTCAAGTACATTTGTACCTTGCGTTATACCATAAAAGTGGCCACTGTGAATGTCCTCATATTGGAGTAAAGATATCACATACAAACAGAGAAATGCATCGGTTAATACTGGGAGAAGTAACAAAACATCATGTCAACTTTTTACAGTTGTTTCCTTCTCCATTCGCTACGTACTTGCATCTGCGTACTGTTTCAAAAAGTCCTTTATGCAAATTAGATAAATCGGAAAATTTTATTCAATCAAGATGAGCAGCTGTTTCCTGGATTTAATTATGCATAGTATCCAGTGTTATAATACTTTAACACACCTCACAACTTAGAAATAAAAAAACATCAAAAAGGATATCTTAATTGAATCAAGTCAAAATGTATTTATTAAGTCGTAAAGCATCTATAATAAAAAGATTAAACAATAGTATCCACTTAAGAACAAGACACTAGATTTAATTGGATTTTGCTTCTAAACTATGATACAAAAGTTGTGGGTTTGTTTCCTTTTCTTTTTTTATGACCCATGCTGCAAAATATGTGTGGCATGTACATTCAAATTATATATACATATGACCTAAATATTATTTATGTATTCCAATTTGAGGTTCTTCATCGTTCACATTATCGACGCAACGATTTCCTTGGAAATTGATTTATCTTATCAATTCCAAACACAAATGCATTGATGTCAACAACAAAAATAGTATTATCAATATATTCTCGTATGACGATTAAATTATTCAGAATTTAACCTACATTTACAGAAATGTTTTTACATCGTTAACAGGATTAATTTCATGTTTTTTTAATAATCTTTGAAAGACCAAATGGGTCATTCGAGATTCAAAATTCGAAATTCAATATTTAAGGTTAAAATTTCGAAAATCGAAATCCAATATCTAAATTCGTAATTCCTCATTATAAATCAACGAGGTCAACATTAATAAGTGAATAGATTGAAGTTAATTCAATATATAACGTTCAAAAATTCGAGATTTAAAAAACGATATTCAATATTTTAACTTGAAATTTGAAATTCAAAATCCTAGATGCAAGTTACAAACTTTGGCACTAATATTATTTACATCATACCTTACTTAGATTAAGGCGACAGTAGTTTGCCGATGCTCGAATATCATAAACCGATTAAGAAGAAACAAATAAAGGCAACACACAAAAACTGAGGAAATCGAATGAACTCTAAAAATAACTAGACCGGGTGCGTCGACAGGGCAAGCGTCTCCTGCTACGCATGGATCACCCGTAAAACGAATTCACACTCAGTCAAAATGTCGGATATAGAACACAATCGGTCAAATTACAGAGCAGTTTAAAATCTCCTTTCATAAATTTAGAAATTATAATAAAACCAAGGTTTCAACTTCCAAAGTCTTTTATATCCTTAGTTTTCAAATTTTTTGCATGAGATTTCCTGATAAAGGAACATCTAAAAAAAGCCCTTCGGACGCATCAAATTAATTAGCGTTATTTTTAATTACGAAACAGTTAAGACCAATGAAATATATTTATGAAAGAAATGTCTGATAACCAAATTTTTGAATCTCTGGTTATTTTTCTAAGGCTTTGCGATAATGGTAGTCGTAGATAAACGTTAGTTATCAATTTTACTGTGCATGATTTGTGTTTTAAAAATAAAGTTCAATAAATTAGAAGAAAACATACTATATCGGGATATGATATGTGTGCGCAAAACACGGGTATCTGGAATAAACTTCATCGGGTATGCTAAAGTCAAAATTATTTAAGTTTGTAGCGCCAAAATATATACCGTTTGGGGGAACAAAAGCCTAAACAGAAGAGTCAAAAACGTTTATGGTCGACTTTGCCTAAGGAACTTTTACAACATTCCATAATTTTAAGAGGAAGTTTGGACATAAAATATACCGAACCAATGGCGTCTTGGCGTCTGGTACTCTAATGAACTGATTGTCACCAGAAGCGACCCAGTGTTTGTAAAACATAACATATGATATTATTTCCATGCATACAACACATGTTTCTTGTAGAACATTTATAGGGTACACTCGAGAACAATAGTTTCGAAATTTTACACTGCTAACAGGGAAGTTATTGAAACCAAGGGTTCTTAGTGGTAAGGTTGAAGTCATCTCTTCGAAAATTCTTAATTTACGTTATGGAATAATTGTTTCATAGATGACCACGTATATGTTCCAATTGTCGTAACCACAATCCAGTCCTCTTCTCATCGATTGTGACATTTCCGAATGAGACTCATTATCGAATTTGTACGTACAATGAGCACTCG